ACGGGAGAGGCCGCAGCAGTGAGAGGCCCGCGTACCGCAAAAAAATAAATAAAATAAAAATAAAAAAACAAGTATGTATATATGCATTTTTCTTTTCCTGCAGAAAAACTAAGCATTTTACTAGATTCTCAAAGAGATCTGGGACCCCAAAAGGTTAATACCTACTGCTTGGTGTGAGTAAATAGAATTTGGCTTTCAAATGTCAAGCTTTTCCTTTTTTTTTTTAAAGAAAGTTGCTTTAAGTGGCAGAGGCATTTAGAACCAACCCACTTTATGGAGGCAAGTGTGGAAGGATTTTTTTTTTTTTTTGTCAGCGCCACGAGGCATGTGGAATCTTAGTTCTCCAACCAGAGATGAACCCGTGTCCCCTGCATTGGGAGCGTGGAATCTTAACCACTGGACCACCAGGGAAGTCCAAGTTTCTACTTTGATAATTTCTTTACAGGAAAGATAACATCAGAGGCTCTTTGTACTTTCTGCACCTTGTACAGCAGTACTCAGCCCACAGCAATCAATAGGGGTTTGTTTAGACAAAATGCATCGGTAGTGAAAGCGAGGCTTACTTGAAAACCATCACTATCCAGGGCTGATGTCATTTGAAATTGCTGCTTGCCTTACCCATCATGCGTGTGCTCATTTGTAGCAGTTAGTGGAGAGAATGTATCCCTTTCTGAAAGGGTAGGAATTTTCCATTTTATTTGTACATTTTGAAATTTCCATATCCTTTTCCATGTTCAGCTACTATCACAGCTAACTTATTTGTATGGTACTTAAATTTGTAAAGAATTTACAATAGATTGTTAAAAGCTTCTGTGGGATACCTAGGTCTTCCAGGGAGTGGGACTTCTGTGATGAGAAAAATGAGGCCTGGCATCTCTCAGATAGGAGGTCTCTTTCCTTATTCCTTTCCTTAAATGAAAAAGAAAAGAGCAGAAGTCCTGTGAGATCCCACAGAGATTCAAGTTTTAACCACTGCAAAATAATCTAAGCAGGTCTGTAACAGCAGGAGACGGGAAGGATTTGAAACACCAGGTGACTTTTCTAACAAAGTTCACACAGTTTGGGTTAGGCTAGCACCTGACCACTACAAAGTAAAAGAAAAAAAATTTTTTTTTCTTTTTTTAAAAAGACAGCTTACTTACCTCGCTGGCTCAGCAAATGTTTTTCCCTATTATAGTTTGGAAAAGGGCATAACTTGGAGGCCTTCTTTACCCTTAGCCCTTCCTCCCGCCCCCGACTGTACCATTAAATCCTAGCTACTGGGGTGACTAAAAAGGATAGGGAATAAATCAGTAATTGCAAAAACTCCCCCCGCCCCCATTTTGTGCATGCCAGCACTTGCTACTTTTAAAGTTGGTTGTAATAATCAGTCAGAGGTTGTCTCTGCTAGCCAGGTCACAGCCTGAGTGGGCATTGAACTTTGGACTATAGCTGAGGGGTGAGGTAGACAACAGGGACTATAAATATCCGAGTTTCTGGCTGTGGCTTTGTGGAGCTGCCCCAGCTGAGCAAGAGAAAGGAAGCAGCAAGCTAGTCAGAAGGGGTTGTGTAAGTAGAAACTTCATGTTTTCCAAACTTGATTCCTTGACAGTTTGGTAAATGATTTGATTTTTGAGTCTTGATAAAATGTTTCTGTCCTTAGAATAGATTTGAAGAAAATAGATGGGTAAAGAAAAGTAATACAAAAGAAAGAAGAGTCTAAACGCTGAGTGCAGTGGGGACACTAACAATTCTTGCTGATTTTTGCCCTGCTTTCTGCACAGCTGAGGATGAAGATGGGGGCAGAGGAGGCTGGAGAAATTGAATTCTTTTCCTCCGCAAAAAGTTGTGATGTTACATAGGCAATATTATATGTTCAAGCTTAAATATTTCCTACCGAAATGCAGAGTGAGAGCTCTAGGGGCAAAACAGCCTGTGGGTTTGAAGAGCAGAGACTGAGATATGGCCTTTCTACAGTGCTGTAGAAATGGCCAGGGATGTTGTGAGCAGTTTCAAGGTTAAAAAAAAAAAAAAAAAAAAAAGAAGGGAGAGCAGGTTTGGTCCACTGTGCGGAAATGATCATCCTTGAAAGAGTTAAAACCCATGTCAGAATCGGGTGGTCTGCGATTAAACGCAATGCTTTGCAGTTTATGTGGTGATGGGTGCTTTCAGGAGAATGAGTGGGGACCCTCAGATGCGGGTCTGAAGGTTAGGGGAAGAGGGTGGAAAAAGTTTCTGCATGTTTTGCCTTTTGATGGGAAATTTTAAACAAATGTAGCTCTGTATGTGGCCAGTGTGGTCCACTGCGGAAATGATCATCCTTGAAAGAGTTAAAACCCATGTCAGAATCGGGTGGTCTGCGATTAAACGCAATGCTTTGCAGTTTATGTGGTGATGGGTGCTTTCAGGAGAATGAGTGGGGACCCTCAGATGCGGGTCTGAAGGTTAGGGGAAGAGGGTGGAAAAAGTTTCTGCATGTTTTGCCTTTTGATGGGAAATTTTAAACAAATGTAGCTCTGTATGTGGCCAGTGAATCTAGGTTTTGTGATTGAAAGTGGTGAGATTAGTGAAATTCATAACTACATTTTAACGGTTATTGCATCAGCTTCCAGTAAATCTAGTTTTGTTATTTATCTACATTATTTTATATAGTTGTCTGACAGCTGTAATTAATCAAAAGTTTATTATGTAAAAAGTGATTTTAAGGAAACAAAGTTGAACAGCCTATTGATTATAGTAACAGAGGAAAATCTGAAAGTGTGAACTCTGCAATCCACTCTGCCAATGGCTTCTGTTATTTTTTCATCAAAAAACTAAATGAGAGCAATGGGTGAGATAACCTTTTCATTTGTATACACTCTTCAGCCAATTGGAATGGTATGCAAAGTAAGGGCGCCAAGCGCTGAGTTTATGCTTTGGTCTATAACTGCTGAATTTATATTCTAGAAAGTAGGGAAGATCTAGCCATTCTAGTAAGAAGCAAAATAGCTCGAATAATTTTGATGTTTTCTTTGTCATCTTAGGGCATTAAAAAAACCCAGATGCTGGCTACTATAGTTACTAAAGGTGACCCAGCTAAAAACGGTCAATATATTGCAGTAGCTAAGAGGTCATGTGTTGGAATTAGAACCAGTTTGAATCCAGTTTCCCTGTGACTTAGTACCTGTGTGGACTTGGGCAAGATGCCTAAACTGTCACTTAGCCATAGTTTTCTCAACTGCAAAAGGAGATAATGGTCACATAGTTGTAAGGATTAACTGACCTGATATTAAAAAAGTGCTTTGTGCCACCTGCAAATAGTTGTATAAATGCTCGATAAATGGTAGCTATAAGAAGGATAATTGTATCATCAATATAAGTACTATCCTAAAGAAATTCCCTAGATTTAGTCCAGATATATCCTCTCCTTTTTTTAAGTTTTGGAATTTTAAAGATATTAGAATAGTTGGGATGGCCTTAATAAATTATTTAATTTATCCTCTCTTAACACCCCCCCCCCTTTATTTCTGTTCCTTTAGTTAGGCTCTTATCAAGATATTCTATATAGCTAGGAATTTTGTGGTGTCAAATAATGTGAAAGATAAGCAGGTTTTTTAAAGTTCTATCTATAGCTACCAGTGCATTAGAGCCCAAATCAATCTGATTTTAGCCTTTCTACTCCCCTGTTAACCCTGGGCTCACTCTAGGTAACTTATCGTTAGCTGCCCACCCTCCCCCCTGCCCAAGTACTTTTACATTTTTAATCCCAGATCAGTGCCTGAAAATGTGCCAACTTCCTAGTTCTGGAATTTTGTCCTGATGTCTCTCCCTCAGACTCTTATATCAAAATGAGCCTGATTACTTTATCTGATTCACTTAGTGTGTCTTAAATAAAAATTAAATCATGTTTGCATAAATGTGTGGATTTTTCTTTCTCTGCTCATCTCTGCTGAATATGCTCTTTTTTCCACCACCTGTCTACAAATCACGTGTTTTATTTGTACCTCTCTGCAGAGAGCGCTAGCCCTTGTTTTGGGAATATTTCTTGTCATGTATTTAATACTTGTACATTTCTTGTCTGAGTATTTCCTACTCAGAGGGATCATCTTTTTTACCCAAGAATGTGCTATCTAGTCACAGGAACTTCCTGAATGTAGTGGTAGCCAATAAGTAGACTAATCGAGTGTAGATTCCAGTGAATCTTAAATGGTACAGGGGCCAGTGATTTGTAGTATTTCTTCCTGGTCTGGTGATTTTTCACTGGTTGGTGTTTGTCTTGGATGTGATAGCAACATTTTGGCAGGCAGTAACATCTTAATCTCTGCACGTTGGTAGACTGCCCTCACTGCCACCTTCTTTCTTCCTGGGTTCTCTTTCCATGCTGTCTTTTCATTTCTGTGGAGAATCCCCTACTTACCCTTTCCTTTCTTAGATTGGTAGAGGATAGAGAGAAGCAGGCAGAACTTGGTGTGTCTCAAATAAAAATCAAATCAGGTTTGCAGAATGTTACTTGGTTGTAGAGGCCACATTCTCAAAGTTTCCCTAGACATGTATTTTCTCCTAGACATATATCTTCTACTAGAGAAGTACTTGGCTGCCTGTTCAGGCAGATCTCCATTGCATGCTTACTAAAGTATCTTGCTAAGCCAGATAGTTAAGAGGTACTTTGACAGCTTCCCTGACTCTGGCTGATCTTTTCCCCTTTACAGGGAGATTTGGGGCTAAGAGGCCCAACGTAGTGAGTCCGACAACATGGGGACAGAATCCACTGGCTAGATATTTGTACAAAGTAGGTTGTACCTGCTGGGTTTATAGAAATTCTTTGTTATGACTGTGAAGATGACAGAAAGGTTTTCTCTTTTACAGGACAGCCCCAGCAATGTGGAGAGGCCTGGGGCTGGCCCTGGCTCTTTGTCTCCTCCCCACGGGAGGAACAGAGAGCCAGGGGCAGAGCTCCTTTTGTAAGCAACCTCCAGCCTGGAGCATAAAGGATCAAGACCCCATGCTGAACTCCTATGGTTCAGTGACGGTGGTTGCCCTTCTTCAAGCCAGCTGATACCTGTGCATACTGCAGGCATCTAGGTAAGGTAGTCTTTCTGTGGTCTAGCATTTCTTAAGGGGATAGCTATTAAATATATACATACATAAAATAAAATAAAAATAGAAAAGATATTTTTATTAAATTGCATTTTTGAAAAACTATACAAGTTTGCCTGGAACATGTTAGAGGAAAGAAGACTAGGAGGGTGTTAACAGTTGTTTTCCTGGGGCTATGGAAGCTTTTTCTTCTTTTTGTGTACCTGTATTTTATAGTACCCTACTAAATATGTATTACTTGTGTAATGAAAATGTTCTAAATTGTACTGTTGGAAATGGATTCATTGTTTCGATATAGGAAGCAGAGACGAGAGCTTTGCTAGAGTAGAATGAACACTAGACTTGCCACCAAAGGTCTTGAGTCATTTAACAAATTTATAAATATATATTTGTTGGGTTATTTGCCAAATATTTATTGGGTACAATTCTCTGTAACTGCGAGATGGATTGAAAATATACACTTCACAGGATTAATTTGAGGACTAAATGAGCTGATGTTTGTGCAAGCGCTTAGCATATTGTTTTAACTGAGCATAAGTGCTCAATAAATAATTAGAAAAACAAAAGTTTTAGTCTTTTAAGACAATGCAAAAAAGAGGTATGAGTTAAGTAAAAAATAACAAAAGAGTTTCATTTAGGAAAATAGAGTGAGGAAAAAGGGAGAAGTCACTAAAATAAAATTAAATGAAATTATTCCTTTTTTTTGTATTTTTTCCAAATATTTTAGATTGGAAGACCTGCGAGTAAAACTGGAGAAAGAAGGATATTCGAACATCTCTTACGTTGTTGTTAATCATCAAGGAATCTCTTCTCGATTAAAATATGTACATCTTAAAAATAAGGTTTCAGAGCATATTCCTGTTTACCAACAAGAAGAAAACCAAACAGATGTCTGGACTCTCTTAAATGGAAAGAAAGATGACTTCCTCATATATGACAGGTGTGTACACACATGTATACATATATGCATACACACCCACCCCCCAAATTAAAAGATACCTCTTTGTATTTAATTTAATAAGTAATTTAAAATAACACATCTGCTTTTATTACCAAATACTCAGTTTCAAAGAGAGCCTGTTCAAATGTTTGGTTTTAGTATTTTTGAAATGACTTCTTTTCACACAAGGGAATTCACCACTCCAGTAGGGAAATAAATAAAATTGACTATACATTTTTCCCCTGTAAATTAGCATTCTGATTAAATAAAATGAAGGATCAATTTGTACCTCACATACAATTCTAACTTAAAAATTTTGCAGATGAATAACCATACTTTGCAGGCCACTTGCTTATCTCTAATCTAATTACTAAATTTTAAGTTTACATGCCTGCATTTCTGAACTATAAAATATGTTAATTATTTAGGTATAATCGGCATGAATCTGCTTTTGATTCCATGAATAAGTAAAATGAGTTTGTATTTTCAAGGAACCTCAATGCATACATTATTTGATATCACTGGGACTTCCTTGGTGGTGCAGTGGTTAAGAATCCGCCTGCCAGTGCAGGGGACATGGGTTCGAGCCCTGGTCCGGGAAGATCCCACATGCCGCGGAGCAACTAAGCCCGTGTGCCACAACTACTGAGCCTGCGCTCTAGAGCCCATGACCCACAACTACTGAGCCTGTGTGCCTAGAGCCTGTGCTCTGCAACAAGAGAAGCCACTGCAATGAGAAGCCTGAGCACCACAAGGAAGAGTAGCCCCCACTGGTCGCAACTAGAGAAAGCCTGCGCTCAGCAACAAAGACCCAATACAGCCAAAAAATACATAAATAAATAAATAAATTTGACATCACCAACATTTCTAGTTGGTGCTGGTTTTTTTTTTTTTTGGCTCTTCAGGAATGGTAAGCCAGACTCTGCCAAGGCCTAAGACCTACTTGGTCTTACTCTAAATATTTTTAATATGACATGTCATTCTTTTAGGATTGCAAACTTCTTATTCTGTTGCAAAGTGTAACCCTTTGATAGTCATATAAAATTGTATATACAGGGTAAAATAGGGGTAAGAAGGACATTTCAAGTCCACTGTTTCTGAAAATGCCAGGTGTTGTATTTCCGTTTCTTTTACTGTACTGAAATTTTTGTTGCATCAGATATTTTTTTAAATCAGTGGGCTACTGGCCAAGACTTGAGGATCTTTTTGTTATGCTGTGATTTCTATTGTGTGGAATTTGTGCTGCTTTAGCAGTTATGAAAGGATCGTGTGATTTGCAGAGCCCAATTTATGATGTCAGTGGTTTGAGCATTGATAGAATTTACAAGTCAATTACAAAATTGTATTTGACCAAGGCACAATAACTAGACTGCATAGTTTTGACATTATTTGTTGTGACATATCTATTTCACATTTCAAAATCAGACTCCCTATAGTCTTGTCATGACCTGACCTGGTATACAGTGCCAGGGAGGTCGTTTGAGCCCCCATTGAAGGAAATTTACTGAAGTTATGAAAGGGTCTTAGTTATAAGACCATTGAACCTACAGTACCTATCCCAGATGGTGCATGAGTAGGATCATGATACAGAAAATATTGTAATGACTTTGTTACTGTTTTCAGATGTGGCCGCCTTGTATATCATCTTGGTTTGCCTTATTCCTTCCTAACTTTCTCATATGTAGAAGACTCCATTAAGACTGTTTACTGTGAAAGTAAATGTGGAAACTGCTCTCTCAAGGTATTTTTCTCAATTATTTTTACTTGGAGAAAAGAGGAAATCTTTTAAGAACTATTTAAATAAGTTAGTGTTTCATGACTAATTAGCTAGTCAATGTTTCTGTTGGTGTACTAAAAATAAACTACAACAGTAATTTTTATTAATATAATTTACATATGCTTCCTTTTATGTAACATATACTTTAAAACGTCTTTTCAAGATCCATATTGCTGCTTTTATCTAGAAGTTTAGAAAACAAAAAAATCAACGTAGATTACGTATTTCAATTACCACCGAATGATATTGTATGAATATAAGTGCTTAAAGAATTCAGCCAACATAAAATACATTATTGCAATATTCTGAATGTGCTCATATAAGAGCATAGTGATAGCAAAGATTATCCATGGCATTACCTGAAGTGGAATTTGGGCCCAGATAACTACTTAATTTACCAAGAATGTAAAACTGTCAGCTTTTCTGTGAAGCCCTTACACAGTGCACTTGAAATTACTGCATTTATTTCACAATGGAATAACTTTTTTACTCATTACTGATATTTCTCTCTTAACAACCATGAGAATATTTATTCCTTGTCATGAGAGACACTATATTTACAAGTGGTTTATAAAAAAGATACTCAAGGAATTGATTTTAACTTATATTAACTAAACTTCTTTTCCTCTCAAATTGAGAAGGAAAATAATTCCAAACAGTGTTTCCTTGACAGAGCAAGTGGGAAAAATTCGAACTCAGGTTTAAAAATAATTTTGAATTTTTATTTCTAAAATAAAGGAAGCTCTGCTTCCTTTATATTTTTCCCAACTCTATAAAGAAAACCATTCAGATTTTAATGAATCACTTACATTGTTAAGAAGCTCAACAGTTTAATTACTCTAGTTATGTCATTTTTCACATTTTAATCTTCATAATAATACCGTGAGGGTTATTTTTACTGCTTTTACAGATTAGGAGACTGAAGTAATGCAAATAAAGTATTAACTCAATGTCTAACTTATACTAAGTGCTTAATGAATGTTAGCAATATTGATTCCTCATTTTGGGGGACTTTTTTTCAGTATTCTTCTGCATTTTCACAAATGCCTAATAGTTGTAAATATACCTAGGTATATTGAAACGAAGGTAGAAACAATTCTCATAACATGTAAAGTTTACAAACATCTGTAAATAGAAATAATATATCGTATTATCTGATATGTGAAATCAAATTGGAGTTTTTCTATTTCATTGCATCCTAGATGCCACCAATTATATGACACATTATTTATGTGTTATTAAAAACTGCTGTCAGTTAGAGTAGGATACAATACTATAACACTATCAATAGTAGGATGCATTCCAATTTTAAAGATATTAAAATGTGAAAAAAATACATTGTAGAATCAATGAAATATAGTAATTGGTTTTTTTGGAACCAATACGTATATCAAATTGTTTATGTTTTTAATTAAACACTATTAAGTTCTCAAAAGTAATTCAGAAACAACCAAAAAACGTACCATTTATTAGTTGTATGCTAAAATCCAGTGGAATTTATAACTTTTCAAAACCTTCAAGATACCAAATCATATCACTTAGTGAGTGTTTGAATTTCATATAGTTACCTTTACAAATCATTTTTTCATGCATTCCTG